TGTAAAAAATATAAATTTTAGCCAAGTGAGATAGCTCACACCTGTAATTCCAGCACTTTGGGAGACCAAGCTGGGAGACGTGCTTGAGTACTGGAGTTTGAGACCAGCCCTGGCAACCTAGTGAAACGCTGTCTCTACAAAACCTTGTTTAAAGTTAGCCAGGCATGTTGACACATGCCTGTAGTCCCAGGTACTAGAGAGGCTGAGGCAGGAGGATCACTTGAGGCCAGGAAGTCAAGGCTGGAATGAGCCATGATTGTGCCACTGTACTCCAGTCTGGGCAACAGGGCAAGACCCTACTTAAAAGAAAAAAAAAAGAAGAAAAAAAAAGCTGATGTCCAAGATCCTGTAGGGGTTAATTCCTGATGACTGCATATTTAGCTTATTAAAATAACAAGAATTCTGTGGGGAAAAAAGCTGGCTAGTACCTGACCTTTGCCCACCATTTTAGAGCCAGTAGACAGGAAGACGAGGTGTTTCTCTGCTGATTTCAAGCTGCAACTGTGCAGAGGGATTCAGGATGATGTGAGATGAAAACAGGTCAGGCCCTGCTAGGCCTTCATTCCATGCAGAATTCTGGCGCAGGAGCACGTACATTTTTCTAGAGAAAATATCCTTACATTTTACCAGCTTCTGGTTTTGAAAATATTGCTTTAAATATGTTACTACTCACAGTAACAGTTATTTTATAAGAAACAAAATGCTTTACCTTGGCCATCTTCCCATTGCTTCACCAAGTTTTGTGAAAGCAGACCCCTCCTCACATCTCCCACCCCATGCTTGAGGGTGAAGGGTTCTGTTCACTGTTGTCAGGAATGAGTGTGTGTATGCATCGCTACATCACAGGGACCAGTAATGGGCCTGCTATTTACACACTGCTTTAGGATGTCCAAAATACAGATTTTATTACTGGTACAGTTATATTCTAAAACGGAAAAAATTTGTTATATAATAAAATAATAAAAATTGTTACATAAATACTTTATATAATAAAGTAATATGTTTATTGTAGAAAATACCAAAAATAGGCTGAGTGCGGTGGCTCATGTCTGTAATCCCAGCACTCTGGGAGGCCAAGGCAGGGGATCACGAGGTCAGGAGTTCAAAACCAGCCTGACCAACATGGTGAAACCCCATCTCTACTAAAAATACAAAACCGGCCGGGCGCGGTGGCTCAAGCCTGTAATCCCAGCACTTTGGGAGGCCGAGGCGGGTGGATCACGAGGTCAAGAGATCGAGACCATCCTGGTCAACATAGTGAAACCCCGTC